CCTGGCTGTCCCCATCTCCCTACCCTGTTTCTGTGCATCATTAATTCTTCAGTTCTGACTTTTTATAAAACACTTCAGAGATTCACCTTGCAAAGGTAATAGGACAAATATTTTCAAGTTGAAATGTCCTAGTTGTAGCATGTTTGTCTGCCCATTCTTTCATTTTGTAGGTTTTCAAGCTTTCAAATGTTTCTGTGCAACCTTGCTATTTCTGTGAGTCTCTCAAGAAAAATGGGCATGGAATCCAACATTGAGGATTCATCTTTTTTTCCTTAAAATCTTCTCTTTAATCAATTTTAATGGACCTCTTATTTCATGACCACAGATCAATTTGCATAGACTAAACCCAGTAGATGTGATTGGGGAATCTCTGAAAGGAAAGAGTAAGTAATTTAACCGTTTGACCCAAGGCTGTGGGTATTCATGACATTAGGCTTTAATCATTGTTTTGAGAACTTGATAATATCTCTTCAAAGATCCTTGTGTTTGTGGATGGCATTCACAGCATTTTTTAACCTCTGGTTTCCTGGTTGTAATTAAAGTTACAATTTGACACATACAAATTTCTTTTTGAGTTTTCTTTTCACACTCACTCTTTTGAACCACAATACAACCTGCGGACTTCCTTCACAAATCCCAACATTTTGAAAATAGAAACACTTTGGAGTTCAACTTCACCTCCACCCTCATGGGCACCTTCTTTTCTGACCTGAGTAGAGAATTATGGGGAATTTTCTTCTGATCATTCTTTATGCTGGCCACTTGCTTTCCTTTCACTCTCCCATCCTCACGTTTATGGGGTGACAAAAAGAAAGGTCTCGTTTTATGGATCAGAATTGTCATCTGTTAATGCTGCCCATCTAGCAGTTACAGCAGTTTGGTCTTCAATAGGTTTTAATTATATAAGGTAGTGAATTTTTAAATTCTTTTCAGGAAATGACCTCTCTGAGACCTTTGTACCCAACTATTTACTCCTCATATCAGTATCCACCTGTCGAGGCCATTTTACTTTCCTCTTTCAAATTCAATATAGGCTTGCCCAGGTGGCTTTCCCAAATTTTGAATTTTTTGCCTGTATGCTTCGGGAAATAACTCATATGAGTAGGCTTTCTTTACAGTGTTGTAATCCAAAGAAACCTCCACTGACAATAAAGCATATATTTCAAACGTTTTACCCTTTTGCATGAACAATGTCCAGTTCTACTTCAGCCTACTCATTTGTCCTACTGTTTACTCAAATGAAATAAATAATGCTTCCACATCCTTTCCTTCAAAAGATAGGAGGCCTGTATAATTTAAACATTTGCTTCCTGGGTTCTAGATTATGACCAGGATGATCACAGCATCCATCTTTTATCATGGAACATCATACTTTTTTTTACTCTTCTAAAACGGCTTAATGAGGTCTTCTTCTTATGGGAAAGGTACCATTTGCTCTTCACCTAACATTGTTCACACAGAAGTGTTATCATTTCATTGTCTTTTGGGATTCTTCCTAACTCTGTGATGTAACTATTCATTTTAACCCTTTCTCCTTTGTTTGCACTCTGTTCTGCGAACATGTCTGACCATGCACAGCCTGAGTGCAGATTAAATCAACTATCTTTCCTCTGTTACATTTCTTGTTCTAAATTCTATCTTACTGAATACTTATTAAATTACTGTTTTAACTGATTTTCCTTTTTCTGTTGTGGTTGTTGGAGGTCAGTCATCTCATCTCTAGGACATCTCTGCAGGAGTTCCTCAGGGTAGTGTCCTAGGTCCAACCATCTTCAGCTGCTTCATCAATGACTTTCCCTCCATCATAAGGTTATAAGTGGGGATGATCACTGATTCCAGCCTCGGGCGACTCTCTGTGTGGAGTTTGTACATTCTCCCCGTGTCTGCGTGGGTTTCCTCCGGGTGCTCCGGTTTCCTTCCACAGTCCAAAGACGTGCAGGTTAGGTAACTTGTCCATGCTAAATTGCCCGTAGTGTCCAGGGATGTGTAGATTAGGTCGGTTACAGGAGGATGGGTCTGGGTGGGATGCTCTGAGGTTCGGTGTGGGCTTGTTGCGCCGAAGGCCCTGTTTCCACACTGTAGGATTTCTATGATTCGATAATTTTTGACTTTGTTTGGCAACATTTGTGACTCTTTCCATACTGAACAGACCATGTCCAAATGCAGAAAGACCTGGACCATATTCAAGGTTGGGCTGACAAATGGCAAGTAACATTTCTGCCAAACAAGTTCCAAGCAATGGAAGACCATCTCCAACAAGAGAAAACCTAACCATTGTCTCTTGACATTCAATGGCATTACAATCTCTAAATCCCCTACTATCAACATCCTAAGGGTTACCATTGACGAGAAACTGAACTGAAGAAGCCATATAAATAATGATGCTACTAGAGCAGGTCAGAGACTCAGAATTATGCAGCGAATAACTCACCTCATGCCTTCCCAAAACCTATTCACTAACTATGAGGCACAAGTCAGGATTGTGTTGGAATACTCCCCACTTCCCTGGATTAGTGCAGCCCCAAGAAGTTTAACATCATCCAGGACAAAGCAGCCCATTTAATTGGCACCACATCCAAATTTGCAGCAGCATGCACCATTTACAAGACACACTGCAGAAATTCGCCAAGGCTTTTTACATAGCACTTTCCAAACCTACATCCTCTGTCTGAATGAAAAGAAGTCTCTCTTGTGCAATCAATATTGATCATGAGAGTATGCAACAATTGCCAAAACAAGTGTAGCCTTTGGCAAACTTCCAACAAAGAGGAGTAAATCTGGCTACAAAGCTAAAAATCTACAGCTATCAGTCCTATCCACTCACCTACATGCATGCAAGACTTGAACTGTGAACCAGTGTTATTGCCCAAAACCTTGACCACTCTCACTTGAGCTGCCTTTGGGAGCTACTGATGATCAGATGGCAGGACAAAACACTGAAGTATCCAGCCGAGCTGATATGCCGGATATCCACTCCATCAGGACAGTCACAACCGAGTTGGGCTGGTCATATTTCTAGAATGATGAATGAAGGAATGCAAGAATGAAGGAATGAATGATTTATTGTCATAAGTATGTTTCTATGAAATACAACAAAATGCAGTGAAAAGCTTTCATTTGTCTCCATAATCCGGCACCATTTTGATGGTTCAAGAATAAGAGAAAATAAAAAGGTATAGTTCAAAGAGAAGTCCATCTATGTATGAGTTCAGAACCAGTGCAGAACCACCATCACCTCGTCAGACCCAAATAATGTCAAAGTCACTGATCCTCAGGTGCCATCTTTCACCACTGGGCTGATTCACCTTCGCCACCTCCTGCACTGGGCACACCAATGTTGAAGATTATTGCCACTGTTGATATTGCTGTGATGCCCTCCCACCCACCACCACTTTACCATTGCCAGCACCGAACCCAACCAGCGACAAAGTCATCTTTCGCTGCTGACCTCCTTTCTGGGCTTACTCTCCTCCACGCTGGGCTCATTCTTTCCTTCGCACTGGGCCTGCTCTCTCCTCTGCACTGGGATCACCATCCTCACCCATGAATCTCAACACCGCCGATGCCGGGAGGAGCCGGCTTTGTTGCTGCCACTACTGCACTCAGGAATTACTCACTTACCAAAGGAAATTTTCTCTGGAGAGTTTAAATGTCGTGTACTCTCTCACATCAGTCAAATGAAGCCCACAACAACACAGAGTGCTTCACAAAGGAGTTCTGAGATTGAGTTTGAGTCTTGGGAGAAGCTTGGCTATGACTACTACCCCTGATGCAAGCAAATAAAAAATAGTGCAGCCTGCATCAAAAGCAAGCATACAGCAGAGGCAAATAGGAAATGTAAGGAAAGAATATCGTGAGTGAGCAACTCATCCGAAACTCGATTCTTTCTGGTATCCTGTCCCATTTTCAGCACAGCATTCTGCATGCAGATCAGTCTTAGTAGTCAACTGGAACTGGAACCACACCAAACTCAGATGATGACAATTTTGGGTGGCACAGTGGCTCAGTGGTTAGCACTGCTGCCTCACAGCGCCAGGGACCCAGGTTTGATTCCAACTTCAGGTGACTGTCTGTGTGGAGTTTGCACATTCTCCTTGTGTCTGCGTGGGTTTCATCCAGATGCTCCGGTTTCCTCCCACGGACCAAAGGCCATGCTATATTGCCCATAATGTTCAGGGATGTGTAGATTAGGTGGGTTAAAGGGTGATGGGTCTGGGTGGGATGCTCTGAGGGTCAGTATGGACTTGTTGGGCTGAAGGGCCTGTTTCCACACTGTAGGAATTCTATCATTCTATGATTTGAAAAAATGTTCACCTCCTCACTTCAAATGAGGAACAAAGTTTGAGAGTTTGCATCTCAGGGGATTCTCCTCAATTTCTGTTTGTCTGAGAGTCCCAAGCTCAAAATCCTAATCAAGATGTTTAGAAAAGGAAGTAAAGAGGAAGAGAGTGGTGGTAATGGTCAAGGAGTGCACTGCACTGCTGAAAGAGGACATATCAGATGGTTCAATTTGCTTAGAACTAAGGTATATAAAGTGCACAAATGCAAGGACAATTTAGAAGCTTGCAGAGTTCACAGTCTTAGATTACTGGTTCCAGTTTAAACATGCCCACATTACAAATACTGTCTATACCTTCCTGAATCTATCACAGGGTGAGTTAAGTCTAGGCTGGTTACAAATACCCACAGACCATTCGTCTCATAATGTCATAGACCTCATATCAAAGGGGCTCAAAATCATTTAAATGCATCTCTCTGTATCTGACTGTGGCCAATACAAATAATTATAGTGGAAGAGAAAGAATTGGTTTATCTGAACTTTCATTTAGATTACAATATGTTAACTGACCCGGTGGAATAATTTAGCGTAATGAAGCAATGTTAAAAATCAGAGAAACACAGATCAACATTCTGAAAGGTTTGTTCTACCACTTAAGCTAACAAAGTTGTGTTAACTACTAAGTTCTGACTTATAAATTCATAAATTATTCACGAGGTAATAGAGTTCAAAAGCATTTATTAGTTTTCATAGGAGTTAAACAAATAGAGATTTCTGTCATTTGCAATAATCATACAGACACAATACTAACAAAAATAACCATGCATATCCTTGAAATGCTTACAGTAAAATAGGTGAGCTGACTGGGTCACAGGCTTCATGATCAAGGGGTTTTGCTATAACTTGCCACCACTCCTAATAGAAACAGTTTAACCTAAAGTTAATATGAAAAATTTAACTGTTATTTATGCAACTACAATTCAGTACCAAGATTAATAGAAGTGTGTCTGCTGTCATTATTATGATTCAATAGGGAGTTTAATGCAGGCATGCCTGTCACCACTATGATTCATTATTGAGATTTATACCACAACAATTACACAACAAAGAAGAGAAATTATACAATTTAAGTCAATTGCAACACTACAAATGATAGTTAATCACAAGAAGCAACTTTTTTTAACAAAGAAAGGCAGAAAGACCACATGGATCCTGAAAAGAAGCAAAGTACTGGGCACCTGATAATGTCAGAGGGTGAGATCTGGCAGTAACATCAGCAAAAGGGGGGAGGGGGGAGGGGAATAACACATCAGCGGGGCTGATAAGACCTGATTGTCTTTATCCCAGGGTCCTGAAAGAGACGGTGAATGAATAGTAAATGCTTTATTGTTAATTTTCAAAAATTCATCAGATTTTGGAAAGGTTCCATCAGACTGCAAAGTAAATATAACTCCTCTATTCAAGGAGGAAGGCTGACAGAAAACACAAAACTATGGACCATTTTGTTTGATATATATCGTGGGGAAAGTGTTACAATCAATTGTTAAGAAGGTTATGGCTGAGCACTTAGAAAAATCCAAGATAATTGGGAAGATTCAGCATCATATTATGAAAGAGAAATAGTAACTAATTTATTGGAATTATTTGAAGGAGTGACATGCACCGTGGATAAATCGGAGCACATTGACTTATTCAAGAAGGCATTTGACAATGTGTCACATTGAAGGTAATTGTGCAAAATAAGAGCTCATGCTGTAGGGGGCAACTCAGCAGTACGGTTATAAAATTGTCTGACTGGCGAAAATCAAAGTTTGCATATATGGCTCTTATGTATGGCTGGATATGATGAGTGGCAGGGATTTGTGCTGGGACCTCAACTTATTACAACTTGTATCATTCACTTGGATGAGGGGAGTGAGGCATGGTAGCTAAATTTGAAGATGAGACAAAGATAAGTAGGTAACTATGTTGTGAACAGTGCATAATGAGCTACAGATATATGTTGGTTGAGGCAAATGTCTGGCAGATGGGATAGTGTGTGAGAAAATGCAAAGTAGCTTACTTTGGCAGGAAGAACAAAAAAGCAAAGTATTAATTAAGCAGAGAGCAACTACAGAATTCCAAGGTCCAGAAGGGTCCAGGTGTTTTAGTGAATGGGTCGCAAAACATTGGTGTACAGATATAGCAAGTATTAACAAAGGCTTATGAAATGATATATTCTATTACAAAAGGAACTGAAGATAAAAGTAAGGAAGTTCTGTTTCAGTTATATGGGGCATTAGTATGACCATTGTCTGTTTGTAGTTTTGGTCTCTTTATTTTGTGAAGAATGGAAATAAGTTTGAGAATGTTCAAGGGACGTTTGCTAGATGGATTCCTAGAATGAGCAGGCTATCATAAGAGGAAAGTTTAGATAATTTGGACTTGTTTTCACTGGAACTTAGAAGAGTGAGGGATATAAGATCCTGAATGGTCTCAACTAGGTGGACATGGAAAGAATGTTTCCTCTTCAGAGTGATTTAGGAGCTGTAGGCACTCCTTAAAAATTACAGGTCACCTTTTTAGGGCAGAAATGAGGAGACCTTTGTTTCTCTCAGAGGGTTGTGTGACTTTGGAACTCTGCCTCAGAAAGTGGTGGAAGCAGGATCGTTGAATACTTTTAAGGTGGAGGTAAGTTCTTGTTAGGCAAGAGAACAAAAGATTATCAAGGTAGACGGGAATGTGGAATTCAAAACACCAACAGGTCAGCTACAATGGTGTTTAATGAGAGAGCAAACCTGAGGGGATAAAAGGCCTACTTCTGCTCCTAATTCATATACTTGTGCAGAAAGACCTGGAAATTACATCATCAGAAGAGATATCCAGCAATTAGTCCAACAATTAAACAGTGTTGGTTTTTGAACTTGGTGGGCAGATGGTTGAAGTAGTATTGGGTGACCATTTTGGAGATAGTGATCACAATGCACTTATATTTAGCATCATTATGGAAAGTGACAAGAATTAAACAGGAGTAAAATTTCTATATTGGGGAAAGGCAAATATTATAAAGCTAAGAGGTGATCTGGCAAAAGTGGAGTGATATTGTCTACATGGATTTTATCAAGGTATTTGACAACCTCCCATATAGCTGAGTCGTTAATGAAATTAAAATCCATGGGATACTGGGGAATATGTCAAGTTGGATCCAAAGCTGGCTCAGTGACAGGAAACAAATGGCAATGGTCAATGGAAGTTATTGCAAATGAAAAACAGTTTCTACTGGAATTCTTCAGGACTCAGTGTTGGGCCCTTTGTTATTATATTTTAATTATTTAGACTTAAGCATGGGAAACATGATTGGGAAATCTGCAAACAACAAAAGATTTGACCAGAGATAGAAAGAACCGCCAATGCTGGAGTCTGAGATAACACAGTGTGGAGCTGGAGGAACACTGCAGGCCAGGCAACATCAGAGGAGCAGGAAAGCTGACATTTTGGGTCGGGACCCTTCTTCAGAAATGATTTGACCAGATAGTTGTTACTGAAGTGGATAGCTATTAACTTCCGAATGACATAATGGTTTTGTTCAGTGAGCAGAAAAGTGGTAAATGGAATTCAGTCCAGAAAAGTATGAAGTTATGCATTTGGAGAGGAACTTGTTAGGGATTACAGAATAAATGGGAGGGCATTGAGAGGAATAAAAGAATTGAGGAATTGAGATGAATTGGAGTGCATGTCAACAAGTCTCTGAAGGTGTAAAAACAGGTAAATAAGGTGATAAAGAAGGCATAAAGGACGTTTTTATTTCATTGAGCAAGGTATTGAATACAAAAGCAAAGATATAATACCGCAATTATATAACATATTGGTCACAGCAGGAGTTTAGTATATAGTCACAGTCACTACATTTCAATTGCTCTAGAGAGAGTACAGAGGAAATTTACAAGAATGTTGCCAGGGCTTCAACATTGTCACTATGAGGAAATATTGAATAGCTAGGGCTGTTTTACTTAGAACAGAGGAGGCTGAAGGGTGACTAAATTTAGGTATACAAAACTATGAGGGGCTTAGATAAATTGGGCAGGGAAGATCTGTTTCCCCTGGCAGAGAGGTCAATTACAAGAGGGCAAAGATTGAAAGTGATTGGTAGAAGAATTAGGGGAGGTATGACCATGGCAGGTATCAGGAATGCACTTCCCAGTTTGACGGTTGAGGCAAAAACTTTCAATGTATTTAAAAGGAACCTGGATCTTTAACCTGCAAGACTGTGGATAAAGTTAGGGAAAGTGGGATTAGAGTAATTCATTCAGCTGACACAGATATGATGGATCGAATGGCCTCTTTCTGTGATGTAACCTTTCTATGATCCCATGATATCATCAGATAGAGGGAGCCAAAGCAAAGACATCAGATAGGGAAACTCAGTAATGTTATCAGAAGCATACACAAAACAAGATTGACACTTAATTTTATATATTCTGGCTGGATCTTCACTATGGAATATCTCAAACTTAAGTTTCCTTGGGGTGTGGATAAAAAGAAGAATGGGATTGACTTGCTCCATAAATTGGTGTGAATAAAAAAAAACTTTGCTTTTCAACTTTGAGGTCGTACCATAGCTCCATTCAAATGAGATAACAAGGTGTAGAGCTGGATGAACACAGCAAGCCAAGCAGCATCAGAGGAGCAGGAAGGCTGACGTTTCAGGCCTAGACCCTTCTTCATCTCCATTCAAGTGAGTTTTTTCTGGCCTGTGTAAATGCCAGGCACAAACACTGGCACAGGCCTCAATATTCAGATACAAGGATATTACCTTGGACACTTAAGTTGTTTCTGTCTTACTTGGAGTGAAAAATCTAGAAACTTCCATCACCAAATTAATTGATACCAGAAGTAGTGTCAGAGTTTCAAATATCATTTTGAACTTAACAGTTTTAGTGATTTGTCCCAACTATAAAATGCTGGAAACACAGGTTCAGTGAATGTGGTTTGAAATGTGTATAAATGTTTCAGCGAGTCAGTAACTTGGTAAAATGATAAAGTCCCAGCCTCATAATTCAACTGGACTCGAATCCTATTTATAGATGGGAGCAATGGAAGGACTGTGATCTCAGAATTGTGCCGGGCTGTGAGATAACCAGCAATAAAATCCAAACTCCAAGATTTACTGCTGCTCCCTAGGGAAGAGATTTCCCCCTCTCTCTCCACACTCCCATATACAATCCCGATTCTCCAATAATTCCCATCAGTCTGCACATCCCAGGAATAGGATCCCGAAGAAAAGCTCTGGGAGCAAAGGACTTGAGGAAGATATTTAAATCTCTTTGGATGGGGTAAGTAGGGCTGTTGCTGCTCAGTCCATGTCACGGTTCTCAGGTCATCAGACAGAATCAAGTTGCAGTTTGCTGTCTTTGGATCCAGACTCAAAGGACTTTTCTCTAAAGGAGAGAGAAGAGATTGGTCAGAAACAGTTATTCTACTCAGATCAATGAGCAACAGCTGCAGGCTACGAATGTAAGTATTTCCCAGACACTGTCAGACCCATATTGTTAGACTAGATTCTTCCCGTATTAAATAATCAGCCTTCAGTCAGACTCCCTGTTAAAGAGAAGGGTGTGGATCCCAGTGTTATCCAGTGCAAACACTGACATGAGATACAGCGTGACAGTCAGCATCATCATGCAAGCATTGTGGATATATTCTCCAGAACACAATAGAAGGGAACCATCAGTGTACAACTCACATCCCCACAATCTGAACACTGATTATCCTGGTAACATACAGCTTACAGGAGTGTGTCCTACGCTCATTCCCTCTGGTACTGTCCCATCCTGAATACAGGACTGCATCCTGGGCTATCTCCCTCCTATCACTATATCATCCTGAATACAGGAGAGTGCCTGGGCTGTCTTCCTGATATTACTATCCCATCCTGAATACACATGTTTGTTCTGAGCTCATTCCCTTGGTTACTGTCTCATCCTGAATATTGGAGTGTGTCCTGGACTCTCTCCTTCCTGCTACTGTCCCATCATGAATACAGGACTGTATCCTGGGCTGTCCTCCTCACGTTACCGTCACATCCTGAAAAATATGTCCTGGACCTTCTCCCCACATTACTAACCCATTCTGCTTACAGTCTGATTAGAGCCTCTATCAGTTTACACAGAGTGGTGAGGATTGGTTGGGAATTGTGTTGAATCTTATGTCCACTCTGTGTGTTAAATTGTTGTCCTCATTTTACGTCAAATTTACCAACACTAACATAGACCCTGTGTCAAAAAAAAATCAAGTCCATTGCAGGAACAGTTGCAGGATCTTGAATTTCAAACCCCTTATTCTGCCTGAATAAACATTATTAAAAAATATATATAAATCATAGTTGGTTTGACTTCTGTGTAAAATTATGAACCCACCTTGGGATATCTCTGCTGTTCCATTGATCCCAGTTGATGGCTGGACAATTTTCTCTTGGACAGTGACTGCCCCAGAAGAACTCTCTTGGGGAGAAATTTTGTTCATTGCATTCCTGTGGTCAGTGGAGGCTGGATCTGTAAACATAGCACACAGTGATTGGGAATTGTAGCACAGCAAGGTCCAGCCTCCTTCATATTACTCAATGGTGGGTTATAGATTCCATCCTTATATATTCATACATTACAACAGTGACTGCATGTCAAACAAAGAAGTTCATCAGCTGGAAAGCATCTATGGAAATTCTGAGATTATTAAAGGTTCAATAAAGATGCAAACATTCCTTATTTTAGTCTCTAAATTCAAATCTCAAATCACTAACTGGAGAAATGTCACCAAAACAGAGTTAATTAGAAAATGGAAGGGTCAAGAGAAAAAAAAGGGATTCCTTGAAAACCGAGCAGGTTAAATACAAGTTGCAGCCGGTTGAACTTCATTGAAGATCACAAACACGTCTTGGGATATTTCTGCTCCCGTGTCAGTCTGAGGCGAATTCTGGAGGTCATTCACTGGGATAAGATCTGCACCAGAGATGTTGTGTGGGAATGGAATTACATCTGATGGGTCCACATATTTGGTGGAAGCTGACAATGCAAAAAAATCACATGGTCATAGTGAAATAGTGAAACTGCAAGGACCTGCCTCTTTCCTGTTTCCCAATTGTGGCTTATGGATTCCATCCTTGTCTATTCGTATATTACAACAGTGACTAGACTTTAAAAATAGAACTTCATTGGATGTAAAGCACTTTGGAATGTCATGAGGATATGAAAGATCATGACAGGTAGTATAAAAATTCAAACATTCTTATTTTACATTTTCAACTCAAATTTAAAATCCATGACTGAAGGAATATCGCAATAAAAAGAAAGGGTTAGACTGAAAATTAAAGGGTTAGAAGAAAAGCAAGGGATCAATTGAGAAATGAGAAGCATACGTTACAGTTAATATAAACCCGTTTATAAACAGACCTTCGGATATTTCATCTTCCTCGCCAGTTCTAGTCAATGGCTGGCTGACCTTTGTGAGGACAGGGGCTGCCCCAGGGGAGCTATGTTGGGAAGGAGTTACATTCAGTAAGCTCCTGTATTCGGCGGAAGATGGCTCTGCAAACAAAGCACATTGTGATTGGGAATTGTTATGTCATGAGATCCAGTTGTTTTCATATCACTGAGTGATGCGTCACAGATTCCACTTCTATATATTTTTGCTTTACAATAGTGATTACACTGCAAAAGTAGAACTTCATTGGCTTTAAGCAATTTGGGGTGACCTGATGTTATGAAATGCATTTAATAAGTGGAAGCCCTTTTACTAGATTACACTTTAAACAAACTTAAGACAGTGTCCCATTAAGAGACACTAATTGACAGTGTGTAATTCTACCCCTCCCTGGCCTGCATTTCAGGGAGAAATGTTTAAAGCAGATGTTACTGGGGACTGAGGATGAGTCTCAGGTTCCTGATTCTCACACACAAAAGTTCAGGCATATTTCCAGTTGTATGAACACATCTAACCCAACCTGCTCTCATTCCCTTAGAACATAGAACATAGAACATTACAGCGCAGTACAGGCCCGTCGGCCCTCGATGTTGCGCCGACCTGTGAAACCAATCTGAAGCCCATCTAACCTAAACTATTCCATTATCATCTATATGTTTATCCAATGACCATTTAAATGCCCTTAAAGT